TCTCTCTCTCTCTCTCTCACGCCCTCTTCCCCTTCCCTTCCTCCCTTCCGTGGTGGTTATCCCTAACCTGTAGTTTCTCCTTGTAAGCCTGTTTGCTTTCAGTACAAATGTGTGTTTGGAGGACTCCACTCTCCCTCTATTGTTTCTGTCTATATAACCTAGTTGTATTGCAAGCGCAATATAATTCATGCTAAAACTTTTTAATCTCTCTGACATTGTTAATTAATTAGGTTATTTTTTTCTCCTGGTGCACAGAACCACAGTGAGGACACCCTACGACAAGAGTTGGTCGCCCTACAGGAAGACAAGGACAAATATGAAACCACATCTAAGGTCAGTCGTCACATTCAGGGGTGATTGGAGCCAGTGGGTGGTTGACAGGTGCTCTGTTTGGTGTGGGTTGCTCATCCTTTCTTATCAAACATCCATTATCCCTATCTCTCCTCCTTTTTTGTGTTTGTTACTCTCTTGTAACACCTCTAATCTGTGGCTCTTGTATCACCTTATTGTGTTGCAAGTGCCGTAAAACTTGCTTAAACAAGTCTAAAATGGCCGCCAAAGTTCGGTGACTTCCAAGGTTTGATAGTCCTTGGACACTGAGAATTTTCTCTTTTTTGGGGACATTTAATCAAAGTTTTTCAAAAATATTAACACACAATTGTATTTGTAAATGGAGATAAAGATGTTGAGCCAAAAACAAAAAATTTGTTAAAAATTACCTGACTGTCAAGGAAAATGCCGGTATCTTCTATTTCATTATTTTGACAAACACCTGATTTCACCACGATGCCTCACAAATTTGTAGGTCATTGTGTTGTAAATGAGTACATAATATATATATATATGATAAATGTTGTGTTTCCATGTGCAGGAGTCATTGCGGCGGGTGCTCCAGGAGAAGCTGGAGGCGGTGACCAAACTGTCGGACCTGGAGCAGTCGCTGGGCAACATGAAGGAGGAGTGTGGTCACCTCAAGGAGGTCTGTGAGTCCTCGCAGAGTGAGCTGGGGCAGCTGGCACACAAGTACCAGGAGCAGCTCAAGGAGGTGGCCGATCTACAGGAGAAGTTACAGGTGAGGGAAGGAGGGAGAGTAGGGAGGGAGGGGAGGGTAAGATAGGGAGGGAGGGAGAGAGAGGGAGTCCTCACGGAGTGAGTTGGTGTTGAAGAAAGTTGCAGATTTTCAGGAGAAGTTACAGGTGAGGGAGGAGAGAATGGAGAGAAAGGTGGAGAGAGAGAGTGTGTTGGTGAGGTCGGGGGGAGAGAGAGAGTGAGAGAGTTTGGGAAGGGAGGGAGAAAGAGCTAATCTTCGCAAGGTGGGTTGGGACAGCTTGTGCAGAAGTGTCGGGGGCAGCTCAAGGAGGTGGCAGGCTTATAAATGTTACATTTGAGGGGTT